AGAGCTTCTAATGTCAACGTTTATGGATTATAGTGACCAAGACCTTCTATCCCTCAAATTAAAGTGCCATCATCTTCTCAGGTAGCTCAATGTTTATGACATCATAAGTTTCTATATGTATGTCGACTATATTTTTTAAACAAAGCCCACATTGTCAAAATTGGTTAATGAAACCTCACAACTTTGAGTCCGTGCATACCGGAATGCCAGGCCAGTTATTCTTACAAGAAGAGTTCACTTTTAATAAAACTGCTTGAGTAAGTGTTACTTTCATTGTTTACATCTATGTTTCTCTATTTCATGTTTCCTCTGTTATTTTACCAATTGTTCCTAGTATTTAAAAACGTAATACAACTTTAGTTTTTTTAATATGAAATACTATTGTATGACGAGAACATATTAATGCTCTAAGGCAGTATATAACATTTATGGACAAAGAAGGGTAATACTAGTAAATAAACAATTTATGTCCTCTGAGGTAAATCTAAACTGAAAACTACATGAGAACAAATGGGTAGTCATTTTATGAATTGATAATAATCTCTTGGGTAATGCAGTCTTGGCAGTTTGATCAGAAACTTGTATGTGGTTTACCAACATGACTATAAATTTCTATCAATGAAATCCTGCTCTTCAGGAATATGCATTTTCAGCAGCTTCCCGGCCAGATCTCAACGTGTTTGATTTGATTTGTCTGGGTTTCGTATAAAGAAAAGGTTGAAGACCTTGAGGATCATAGGGAGGTGGCATGGAGCAAGGGCTTGAATTTGAAGCAAAACGGCCCCTCTTTGCACCCTTCAACTACCCCTTTTGGCACACTTTGTTATACTTCATTAGTTTTGAGTAATCTTGTAAGAGTTGAAGATTTATAGCATATTGTAAAAATGTTGTATGATTAAAGTGTAGATCTATAGCATATTGTAATGTACGTGAATGATATTGACACTAAATAATTTGAGTAATAAATACAAATGTTGATCTTTTATTTTGATTATTTATTATTGTTTCTATAATCAATAAAATAATGATTATTATAATATTATCATCCCATTTATTTAACATTACATTAATGTGTCATTTTTTTATGATACCAATGTGTCACAAATTGTTATGATACCAATGTGTCATAATCTTGTACAACATTAATGTGTCACCATTTACTGACACTATTATGTTTTACGATCAGTGACACTATATTTAGTGTCACTAGCCGACACTTTTCCCGACGCTTTTTTAGTCTCGCAGAAACTTTTAGTGACACTAAATTAGTGTCACTATAAGCCCTTTTTCTACTTGTGCCGGGACCGGCCCGGCCCGTCACTGTGCGGGCCCGGAACCGGCCCGGTTCTCGGGTTCGGGTCCGGTTCGGGCACCGAACCGGTTGGGTTAGCGGGTCCGGGCTCGGGTCCTGTTTTTGGAGGCCCGGCCGGGTCGGGCCCGGGCCCGGGCCTAACGGTCAGATTTTTAAAAAAAAAAATCTTTTTAATTTGAAAAAACCCTTTTGGCTCAACCGGTCAACCCCCACTTCCCAAACGGCTATATAGCCGTTGGGGGGGGTACCAGGGGGGGTCCGGAGTGTTTGGGGGTGGGGGTGGGGGGTGGGGGGTGGGGGTTAAAAAAAACCTATAAATACTCCTAATTTTAAACATTTTTTCACACCTCTTCTCCAACTCTCCCTAAATCCTACTCTCTACTCATCTCCAATTCTCCATATTCATCTTCTCAAATTCTCTTATTCTCCTTTATATTTTATTTTACTATTTAATATTTATACAATTATTATATCTATTTATATATTAATTATCTACTTATAAATACATATACTATATTACTTATATTTCTTATCTACTTAATCTCTACTTATATTTCTTAATACATACATACATACTACATCTACTTAATATATACTTTATATAATAAAGTATTAAATATACTTTATAAACTATTACTATATACTTAATACATAATAATATCTACTTCTCTACTTAATAATTTCTATTTTATATATACTTATTTTATAATATCTACTTTTATATATACTTTATAATATCTATTTTATATATACTTATTTTCTTATTTTCCAATCTCCAATTCTCCATTATACTCTAATATTTAATTCTTATACAATTATTATATCCACTTAATACATACATTCTACATCTACTTAATATATACTTTATATATTAAAGTATAAAATATAAGTGTATTACTCATCTTATAGTAGTATACTTATATATTATATACTATAAATATTATATTACTTAATATAACTAGTATTGTACTAGTTAGTTAGTTAATTAGCATTCTTGTTACATTTATCATTATAATAGTTAATTAGTTCATTACCATTATTGTTACATTTTTCATTATACTGGTTAATTAGTTTATTAGCATTGTTGTTACATTTGTCATTATACTAGTTAATTAGTTAATTAGCATTGTTGTTACATTTTTCATTATACTAGTTATTTACTTCATTAGTATTCTCATTAATTGTTAAAACAACTCTACTTCAATAAACTAGTTAATTGTCATTAATTCATTATAGTTAAAGTCACATTTTCTTATTTTCAATTTATATTTGTAGGAAGAAATAGTAGTTCAATCATTTAATTAAAGTACTTAACATTTTATTTAAGTAGTTTTTACTAAATTAAAGTACTTCAAAAGTTGGTATAATTTTAATTTTAAAGTCACACATTAATTCTACTTTGCACTAAATTAGTTTGAAGTATTAATTAAACAACCGATGGTGGCTCTACCTATGCCGGAGATTCCGATTGATTAGTATTTTAGAATTTATTACAAAATGTATTTTATAGCACTTGTCAAATTAATTTATACTTGTACTTCATATTTCAAAATTGTAAACTTGTACTTCATATTTCAAAATTGTAAATTTGTAGTTGTACTTCAAATTAATTTGTAAACTTGTACTTCATATTTCAAATAAATATGTGTTCACTTTTTCATATGTAGCACTTCTCAAATTAATTAATTGGTTACAATCTAACGACTTAAAATTATTTTTCTAAAATATAAAGCCGATTTTTAAATTAAAAATACATTTACAATATGTAATTTGTTTAAATACTTATACACCTATTTTGTAACATTTGTAAATTATAAATCAAACCACTTTTCTAAGTACAAATAGTTTTAGTTTTACTTAATTCATTAAATTAATTAATTTATTTTACAATATGTGTATAACTTAAAAAAAAATTAATTCAAACCTCCCAAACGGCTATATAGCCGTTGGGGCTATGGGTGGGGGGCAGGGGGGTCCCGGGGGTGGTGGTGTGGGGAGTGGGGTTCAAAAACATCTATAAATACATCTATTTTCTAACATTTTTCTACACCTCTTCTCCAATTCTTCTCAAACTCTTCTCCATCTTCATCTTCTCTTATTATCCTAGATTCCTAGATTCCTACTTATACATATACCATTTTAAATATGGAAAGTACATCTTCCGTTATGCAAAACAATTTTGACAAGTGGAAAGACCCGAAGACCGGACTGTGGTGGGCAACTTGCAGGTGGTGCAAGAAAGACTGTTGCTTGGGGCGTTCATACGGATACGGGATGCCAATAAAACATATGAAGTCCTGTGACAAAGGGAAAACAACAACCAACGGTGGCGGAAATCCCAATTGATATTCATTACAAAATGTATTTCGTATTGTTATTTTTTCTCAATTCTCAAATGTAGTTCTTATTTCAAATAAATGCACTTGAACTTTGTTTTTAATAGCAATTTGTATAATATATAATTAATTAAAAAAAATGTACTGGCCCCGCCCGGCCCGGCGGGTGGCCCGACCCGTGACCCGGGCGGGTGGCCCGGCCCGAACCGGTCATTGACCGGGCCGGTCCCAGGCCTACCATTATAGGACCCGAGGCCCGACCGGGCCTTGACCCGGCCCGGGCCCGACCCGACCCGGGTCCAACACTAGTGCTGTGTAACAGTGTTACAGGGGTGTACTTTAGCAAATCTCAATTACATATTTCCTCCGTCCCAAATTGTTTTGCAAAATCAATATTTTTTTGTCAACCAACAACATAAGTCAAACCTCTTTATCAATAAGTAACTTAATTTTTTATAATGACAATTTAAGTATTCAAAAACTACATTAAATTCTTCAAAGTTGCGAACTCCAAATTAGAATATAATTAAAAATTGACAGCATAATTAAGTAAATAAAATGCCACCGCCCCATTGAAACTGCCATCTCCACTATACCACCACCACTATGGATGTTTTCTTTTGGACTGAAATTTGCTGGTCTGGTCTGGTCTGGTCTGAACTGGTCTGGTAAACGTCTGGTCTTTGTGTATTTTATAACTACGGCAGTCTTGTCTGGTCTGTTTAAGTCTGGTCTGGTCTGTTTAAGTCTGGTCTGGTCTGTTTAGGTCTGGTCTGTTTAAGTCTGGTCTGGGACTCAAAACAGTCCAAAAGAAAACATCCTACTCCATGTGACTATTGCCATCACCATTACTCACCACCCCACTACTATTGCCATCCTAAGCAACTCCATCGCCATCCCACAACCACCGACATTTTAACGACATTTTAACGATCACGACACATGCCGCAGGCATTACCTCCAATCCTCCATCTTTTGTCACGAACTCCAAACACAATCAAAGATGTGTCCAGGTATTTGATAGACATTGCTCTTTCATACAATGTTTAAACTTTAAATAAATAAAAAAAATTAACTATGGGTATTATCTCAGTCAAGCAATTGATCGGCAAGTATGTGATCCCTCAAATGTGAAACTTCTACTTCCAACTTTCCAAGTTCTATATGGGATATTTTAAATTGTCTAGGTTAATCTGAAACATAGACCAGAGCCAAACTGCCTTGATAGAGAACTCTAGTGATTGAACTATGAGTTTTATAGAAACTCAAATCGTACTCATTAGCGAGGACAAAACAAAAACTATTCTAGCACGGTTTGTTCAAGACTTTGACATTCATAGCCTAATATGCTACTCCGTACCAAATGTCAGACACAGTTTGAACTTTCGAATTCATCCAGTTGGGATGAAACAAAACGAGAAAACATCAAAGAGCACAAGGGAAATACACTTGTTAATAGGTATATATATCAAACGAAGCAAATCCATCATCCATAGGATAAGTCTATCCTAAAATCAAAACATCAACATGAAACGAGAAATGTATAGTCGATCCTAAAGACACGAACAAACAATAACACTAAGCAGCTAAACAGAGTTTTAAGCCCAAACATTACAATAAGAGAGCATCCATTATTGCTATTATTAAGCCCTCTCCCCTCTGATCCTCCTGGCAAGCTGAATGTCCTTGGGCATAATGGTCACACGCTTTGCATGAATGGCGCACAGGTTGGTATCCTCAAAGAGACCCACAAGGTATGCCTCTGCGGCTTCCTGCAGAGCCAACACAGCATGGCTCTGGAAACGCAAATCAGTCTTGAAATCCTGGGCAATTTCACGAACCAGCCTCTGGAATGGAAGCTTCCTGATGAGCAGCTCTGTACTCTTCTGGTACTTGCGGATTTCTCTGCAATTTTTCACCACACAATCAATTGTTATTACGTTTAACCTTGATCAAAAACCTATGAGACTGAATCAACGCACAGACAAGAAAACAAACCTGAGTGCGACTGTTCCAGGTCTGTATCTGTGAGGCTTCTTCACGCCTCCTGTGGTAGGGGCGGATTTTCGTGCAGCCTATAAATTAAAACAGATTTGCTTAGAACTCGAGTAAAACGAAAGAAAAAGGGATATTTTCTTTGATGATGCGGTAGAAAGATATCAACCTTAGTGGCGAGTTGCTTCCTTGGAGCCTTGCCTCCAGTTGATTTACGCGCGGTCTGCTTAGTACGAGCCATCTGTAACCACAAATCTTAAATAAGAAACGCTATCAATCCCTATCGATTGAGTAAATCGCGAAAAAGAGAACTAATCTAGGGTTTGCACTACAGATCTTCAAATAGGACGAACAATTCAATTTATTCAATTAGGTAACCGATCTGATGCGAATCGGTGGTTTATCTCGCTGGTTAAAGAAAAAACGAGTACAGATCCAAAATCTGATCTCTCAAAAACAAAAGAGCTAACCATGGAACAAATCAATTGATTGATCCAAGGATATCTAGATACTCGGCACAATTCATCAATGAACAAACCAAAAGAGAGAGAAACATGATGAAATCAAGAGAGAAGCCGTTACCTCGAAGAAACTTAGATCGAGTTGTTGAGGAAGGAAAGAGGCTCGTCTGGAGTTGAACGGCTTTAACTTTTGAGATTGCGTACGGATGAGAAATGGTGTTGTGGGGGTATATATATAGATTGAAGGAAGGTAAAGTCCTTCCCCTTCTGGGATCTTTATTTGAATTCGCCGTAACGTAATTAAATGAACGTTGATTTATCTGTGTGCTTCTGTCATAGAACAGAATCAACGGACGAGATGATGGTCTTTTGTGTTAGTGTGAGTACACGTGTATTGCTCAGATATCCTGCTGTGGTCCGATGACGATCTGGTTGACTCTCTACTCGCTATCTCATTGGTTGAAAGTATCTATAGAGGATTACTGATTAATAAATTCTCGTATACTAATCATCATTAGGCCCAATCCAGACTACGCCCGGTTCAAGAATCAAGATGGTGGATTCTGATATACCAAGTATTACAATACTCCCTAAAAAATAGTGGAGTTTTGTCAAGTGCAAATTAAGTGAGAAATAAGAAAAGTAAAAATTGGATAGTTGAGATTTGTGTAGAGGAGAGAAAAATGTGCAGAACCACAAATTAGTTATTTTAATAGAAAAGTGACAAAATTTTTTGGGACAACCAAAATAAGAAAGTTGGCAAGATCCAATAGGGCGAAGAGAGTAAAAAAGTACTCCTTCAATACCTTAAAATGTGCTTAAATTGTCTCACATATACGGAATAGAATAGAAAGTACAAATAAAAACTTATAATTGAAATTTATTGTAAAGAAATAATTTTAACTACTCCCTCCGTCCCCTTTTAAATGTCTCATTTTACCATATTGGGATGTCCCTATTTAAATGTCTCATACCTTATTTGGTAAAGTTTGTGTGGCTCAAAATCATTCTTACTTTATTCTTACTTTATCAATTAATATCAACCACACAAACTCACTTTTCTTAAAACCCGTGTCACCCTCCTCCGGGTCATTTGAAAGGGGACGGAGGGAGTATATATTTATCACTTTAGATTGAAATGATTTTTTCCACATGGACTAAATAAAGTAAGTTGACAAATTTTCTCTAGTAGAGGGAATAACAAATTTTGAAATATCACACTTATTTTTCTTTTTTTAATTTTCCAACTCAATCACAAACTTTTATCACCAACCAACGAGCATTTGGAAAAAACTTCATTCGCTTCTAGTCTTCTACTATTATTCATTACTTTTATATGTTATTACCTCTGTGTCCTACTAACATTGGGACAAAGAGGATGTGACATTGTTATTAAGAATAGTAAGTTTATGTGATTGATCGAATTGCGAAAGCAAGAATTATTTAGAAACACATAAATTCGACAAGAGACAATTTTAGTGGAATTTTCCGAAAAGGTAAAATGAGCAATCTTAATGTGGCGAATGGAGTATTAATTATGGGATTAGTGTATTAAGTTAATAATGTACGTAGTATAAAAGAACTTCTGGGCTAAGTTGGGTTTAATAGGCTGAGAACGGATGGATCTTGATGGGCTGAGCCAATGGGTCGGGCCGGGTTTCCCACTTCATGGGCATGGTTGGGTAAGTCTGTGGCCTTTATGGGCCAGGCTGAGCTTTTGGCAATACAACGGTAGAACCACAGGTTAAATTATGATACCTATTAAGATTATGTTTGAAAGAATAAATTAAAATGGAAAAAGGTGCAAATAAGCCCTCGAACTAACCGAAAAAGTGCAAATAAGCCCTTTTATAGGAAGCTCTGTCCGACCATCGTCATTTGGGGCGGTTCCAGATGGAATTTTTTTATGAATTTTTTTTAGCATCTTCTTCACTAAGTCAGTTTACCCATACCAAATTTTAGCTAAAAATGTAATCGGGAAGACAGCCAAATGATTTTCTGAATTATACTGCGATGTTTAACTGTTCAGTTATCTTCAAAATTTATTTGACTGCCTTTCCAGTTGAACTTTTAGCTGAAATTTGGTATGGGTAAACTAAACTTAATGAAGAAGATGCTAAAAAAATTTCATCAAAAAGTTTCACTAGGAACCGCTTCAAATGTTGACGACCGGACAAAGCTTCCTATAAAATGGCTTATTTGCACTTTTTTATTAGTTCGAGGGCTTATTTGCCCCTTTTCCCAATTAAAATTGAAACCTATTGTCTGATTTGGAAATTACTTTGTGGTGCAATAAGTCAATAACATATGAATGAAATAATCTTGTTTAGCTATACAGCTGAAGCCTGAAGTAAGAATAATAAAAAACCATAAGATTATTAAAAAAAAAAAAAACAAGATAAGTTTTGAATATCGAAAAGTTAAGTTGACATAAATTTACTAGGGAGTATGAAATAAGAGTTAAGAAATACTAAAATCAGTAACGCTTTGAGGATGTTTTTGTCAGATTTATTTAAGTCTAATCTGATCTAAATTTATCCCATTTGGTTGATATTTCTTCTATTTGAATTTTTCACGACCGTCGAAATGTCATCTAGAGTTTGATCCTTTAAGGTTTGGTTTGAGCCAATCCGATCAGATTTGGTCCGATCAGATTATTGCCCAATCATACAAGATTACGTGTCAATTAATTAAATAATATATGAATTAAAAATATACTTTATAACTTTCGAAGTCCCATCTGATTTATTTCTTTTGAATTTGATCTAAATGAATGTGATATAATCTAATCTTATCAAATCACGGACAGAAACCAATCTTATTAAAAACATAGGATGATTAGTTTTGCACTCGGTTAAGTTCAATTGTTCGCCCATACAAGAGTACAAGAGTAGAGGTGAATTAATTAAATTAAACCAATACTTCAATAACTGAAAAAATCATACAAACATTGCATAAATTGAATTACATTTATGCTCAAATAATTAAACGTTTAGTTAAACATAACGTTGAGGTTTAGTCTCGTAGATCCGAAAGCCCAACACAGTGAACACACGCACGCTTTGGATATTAAGGATGTAGGTTTGAGTCTGAAAGGTGTATAAAATATAAAACAATGGATTAAGACTGAGTAGGTGGGAACTATCAAGTAACTCTAAATTGATGTCGCAAAGAATGTAGGATCAAGGATGTAGGTTTGAGTCTGCGATTACAATGAACTACCCGAACGGTACGTCGGAGTAGGATCTAATACAAGAATAAAGGAGATAATTCTATTGATAAGCTCTGAGTATCAAAATGCTAACCATTTACAATGTATTCAATGCAGGTATTTATACTAAGAAGGGGGTAGGTGGGATGATGACGTGGTTGAACCCAGTTGGTTGCTGCCTCTGCCGCTCTTCCACCCATGCCTCTACTTGCTACCGCCATATTTCAGCATTAAATGCGGTTGCCACTTGTTGGATTCCCGGTCGGGTAGCCCGTTCGGAGAGCCGGACTCCCTAGTGGGTGCTTCGATGTCAGTACTTCGTTAATTAGCTCAAGTGGATAAATTTCCCCGAATACTTTTCAGGTATCATCCCGGACGGGATGTCTAGAATTTCTCTGGCCGCTTTGGGCTCCCGGCTTCATCTGGGCCTCTCTAGGGTTTGGGCCGACTATTGGGCTTCGACCCAATACCCCAACACATAAATATCCTTTTTTAAGAATGACTTATTAAAAACAAATAGAAGGTTTAGTTTCTTTTTTTGTAGACGTTCTGCAAACCGCGTTGCTCACATGTTAGCTAGGCAAGGCGTGTTACTACCGGACCAAGATAAAAGTTTTGATGTTATTCCTGATTGTATTGTAAGCCAATTCACGAACAATTTGCATGAATAATGCTATTATTTGTTTTCGTTGTCAAAAAAAAAAAGAATGACTTGTTCGTTAAGATAATATTCTTTTATCCTAAAGAACAAATATCTTAACAAGTCATTCTTGTGTCTGTGTACCAATATATTTGTATTTCAACATCATCAATATAATGGATGAATTAAGAATGAACTTAATTAAACGGGTCGATAGAGAATAAAACTATTGCAGAAATTCATGTATTAACGTAGTAATATGGATGAAACAAATGAAAATGAAAGTTAAATTTCAACACTCATTTTTATGCACCGTAATTTTATGTTGAAACTTATTAAAAATATACTACGTATCTAACTAAATTTCATCCACTTCAACGGCAATTTCAGTTGGTTCAGTTGTCTCACCCGCTCAGTCAGTTGACTCACTCGCTCTCTTTTACAGTTTTAGGAGCAATATTCTCACTTCAGTCCTGAATCCTGATGCTCTCTCTACACAAATAAGTAAATATTGAGTACATAGTAACACATTAACTTGGCACATTCAGTCCATTAGGAAACATCCCATAATATTGGAATGATATCGACAAGATTAGCATGGCCCCTACGGCATCCATACAATGGTCAAATTTACAAAATGTGGGGGTGCATATGTAAATGTTATGTTTGCTCGAATACAGCAGGCAGTTTCTTTCACTAGCTACAACTCTCATCATACATATGATGCCAAAATCTTTTCTCTTTTCTACAATTTGAGTTTGGTTACATCAATCTTTTGGACAGGATATGTATATGCCTCATAATTGATTTGCTGGCCCAAGGTACTTAATCTCGTAAGCACGGCAATCAAGTCAACCTGAAAACCCAACATTTCCCAGAACAATTATAGCCCCTTTTCTGTTAGTCGAGAATGATCAGAATCTATGACAAAATAGTGAAACAAAACTAGCTTAGTTGCTTGCCTCATAATCGGTTTGGGACACTGTTTCTCGGCTTCTTTGGTACTTGATAACCCAGGGGAGAACGTCTGGATCTGTGGCCAGTCTCACCTCAGTTGCCGCCTGATCAGGACCCAGGAATGCAGACATCACTGCTAACTGGTCAACAAATTCAAAACTAATCACCACCACCAGACTATGTTTGGAACATTGAAAATGGTCAGTTTAAGGAAAAAATTTGGGGAAAAAATGGTACTCCGTATATTTTTAATGTTTGTTTTGCATTGGGAAATAAAAACGAAAGTCAAACTGGACTACTTCAAAATGAATTACACATTGTAAGTAGCGTATATGTAACAAAAATGTATACATAGCAAACGAAATGGATCAATGAGTTCAAAAAGAATCTCTTTTTAGTTTTTCTTTCTTTCCCAAACTCCCCTCCACACTATATTTTTCCGTATTTTCTTAACTGCCATAACTGGTTTTTCTGGTTCCCAAACGAACCTCAAGAGCCTCTGGGCCCGAGGCTTACGTGCATCAAA